GCCGGTGACAGCGGCAGTCGTCGCAGCCAAGGCCCGCGAGGCCAACTTCACTCGGGCCACCGCTTCGGAGGCATCCATATTCGTGGTCAAGGAGGTTCAGCAGCCTGCGAAGTCAGTGCCCTGGAATGCTGCGTTGATCGGTGGCGCGGTCTGCACGTGGGAGCGCGTGGTGGCGGGCGCCGGTCCAGTAGTGGTGTACAGAGCAGCGCTGTCCTCGCATAGGATTGTCTACATGTCCGACGCCTTCTTAGCGGAGTGCCCCCGGCTCGCCGCTCTGATAGTCGATCGCGCGGGTAGCCACGCTGTGAGCAAGTGGAAGTTCACCAGCGACCTGGTGTATATCACGGCCAGGGCGGCCAAGACGCCCACAATTGCCATAGCCCTTTTAGGCTCGGCTGAATCAGGCGCTGAGGTGTGCCCAGGCGTCAGGCAAGCATTCGACGCTGCCGCGATGCTCGATTTCATTTCACGCCGTGATGAGGATCAATCGGCGATGGGTGCATGTGGCCGCTGAGCAATCCTCTTCCCCCTCCTACTCCTTTTCATCCTCCTCTGCCTCCCCCTCCTCCTCCCCCCCCTCCTCCTCCTCCTTCTCCTCCTCCCCCTCCTCCTCCTCCACCTCTCCTCCTCCCCGTCACCCCCGCCACCATCATCGACATCGTCATGCTCCGGACACGCCTTAGAATCAAGGCTGCGGGCCCGCTCTCGTCGCCACTGCTCCGCTGCGAAAGTCTGGCGCCATCTTGGGAGGACTGTCTGATAAGAGCCCTGCGAGGCGGGGTCAATCACGCTGAACATCCTGGCTCAAAGCACCACCGACAGGTTGCAGCGGCATCAACAACATCAACAACAACAACTACTACAAACAATTTAGTGCAAATTATATGCGCGCGTGCGGCGCAACATGTATATCCCAAGCCCGCGACCCACCCGCGACCCGCCCCGCGACCCACCCGCGACCCATCCCGCGCCCGCCCCCTCGCTCACATTCCCTGCCCAGGCTCTGCCTAGAAGGGCTCTTACTTTCTATGTTAAAGGGGCCGGGCACTCAGTCTCAGTGGAACGCGCCCCGGGCGGGCCCCCCGGCATCCGCCCCGCGGCCCCCCCAGTTCCCGAGACTGCCCCCGAGGGCGCGAGGCGGGCCATGCGCGCCCGAAAACATGGATGTCGCCCCGGCCCCCTCCGCTGACCACTACCGCAACGGCCATTTTAGGCCCCGGCCCGTTCGCGCGCCGCAGGCGCCACCGCCAGCGACGGCGATGTGGGCAGTAGTGCTGCCAGAGGAAGCGCCGCAGTCCACCGCCTCCGCCAATGCCTCTGCGAGCGGCCCTTCTGTCCGCAAGCGCCCTGCGGCGAGAGCGGCCTCGTCAGCAGCGAGGGCTCGGCCGAAGGCGAAGCGGGTGGCGACCGCGAAGGCGAAGCCGAAGGCTAAGCCATCCGCCAAGGCCGCGGCGGCCCGTTTCATGGCGCTGAAGCCGCTGCTGCCGGGGCCGCCGCCGACTGGGCCCATCGGCTACGCCAGCGACAGTAGTGGCCTCGACGCTGGTGCTTTTGCCCTTCGGCACATCACCCCCTTCAAGCACCACTTCGCCTCCGAGGTGGATCCAGTGTACAAGCGAATCTTGATGGCTACCCAGCCGCACGTCAACACAGTCTTCGACGATGTGGTTGCACGCGACCCTCAACAACTGGAGATGTTCGTGGGCAGAGTCACTATCTATACTGCTGGCTTCCCATGCCCGACATATTCCAAGCAGGGCAACCGCCAGGGCGTGGATGACCCCTCTGGCGCAGGGCTCGTGGTCTTCTACGTGGCGCTCACCATTGGCAAGCTGGTCCCATGCATCTTCGCCCTCGAGAATGTCCCCGAGTTCGCGACCGACAAGAAGTTCAAGAAGCAGTTCGATGTGACCATGCGCATCCTCTACGAGTGCGCGGACGGCATCTACAATATTCACTGGCACATCTTGAACTCCAGGGACTTTGGCGTGCCCGCCGCAAGGCGGCGCCTCTACATCGTGGGGATTCGTCGGGATCGGCAGCGCGCTGAGTGGAGTTGGCCAACTGGTAGCCAGACGGTGTCCCTCACTTCCATCCTTGACCAGGACTCGCCCACGGAGAGGCAGAAACATGCATCCTTGTTGGAGTTGAAGCCTTACCAGTTGCGCAATCTAGTCGCTGGCCTCGAGAAGATCAAGACGACGCACCCCGACGCCGATACCGATGCTGAGCCGTGGGTGATCGACGTCGGCAAGGGCCCATCCTTCGGCATTTCCGTTTACCTCGACGAGATGCCGACGATCACCAAGAAGCGCGCCAGGGAGCTCCAGTGGTTCACCACGAACCGCGGCGGCTTGATCCGCGAGCACGAGCTGTTGAAGTGCCAGGGCTTTGACCCGCATGCAATCGTCGTGCCGCCCGATGTCAATCGCTCGCGGCTCCGCGAGATGATCGGCAATGCTTACACGGTCACCGTGATGAGGGACCTTTTCAGGAAATGCTTGTGCGCGCTCGGGCGCGCTGATGATGTCTAATCTAGGCCAGTCAGTATCCGCTTGTAAAATTTACATTTGGCAGCCCTGCGTGGGCCCTGGCTGGTGCGTCGGCGTTCTGGGCACTGTGCGTGCCACCCTTACTGCGCCAAGAGCGCCATCGGGGTTGTTGGTGCGTGATGTTGGGTTCGTGGGCTCCGCGCAACTGGGAAGGAGCATCACTGCACCGCGGGCTGAAAATAACCTCCTCGTCCAGCCGTGGGCCGTGGAGCCCGCGCGGATCGACCCGGCTCGAGGAATGGTGGGGTCGAGAGCTCCGGCCGCGTCCTCCTTCTCCTCCTCCTTAACCTCCGCAGTGGGGGGGGGGCTCGACGCCGTCGTCGCCTCGGCGTCGTCGTCGCTGCAACATCTTGCTGGTTACGCGAACGACATGTGTGATATGAACATGTAGGAGGTAGGATAATGACGGTACTGCCGCATGCGCCGCATGCAAGATAATGCAACCTAAGGCCTCGCCGTCTAGAACGACATGTAGGGCAATGGAGAGGAGGTACGCGATGATCATGCGAATGATGCGCGCGATAGTTTCGAAGAGCGAATCCTCAAAATGCACCGGGGGCGAAAAATAATGGTGAACATCGAAAATCCTTAAAGTCACAACTCCAACTCGGCGACTGAAATACCAGGGGTGCGCGTGCGCACCCCTGTTATTTCAGTGCTGGGCGCCCGGCGCTGAAATAACAGAGGTGCGCGTGCGCAAAAGACAACTTTTCCTTGATTTGCGCATGCGCAAATCTGTTATTTCAGTCGATTTGCGCATGCGCACCCCTGTTATTTCGGAGCTGGGCGCCCGGCGCTGAAATAACAGAGGTGCGCATGCGCACCCCTGTTATTTCAGTCCCCGATGGTCCCCAATGGTCCCCGGCAAAATTCACCGCGGCATCGTTTCGCAACCGACGGGGGGGCACCTGTGATGCATTGTAAAGTGCCCGTGCCGATAGCACACGCGCCGCGCGCTCAGTGCTGTGCCTCTTGAAGCCATCACGGGTAGACTGTATCATCTACGACATTACCCCATTGCGACCCTACCTGGAAGTTGGAGCCCCTATGGACGCAGCATTAGTTGCTAGGCTAGGCTAGGCTATGCTATGCCATGCTATGCTTCGCCATGCTATGCTGTGCTGTTCTGTGCTATGCTATGATATGCAATGCTAAGCTATGCTATGTCATGGTGCGCTGTGATATGGTACGCTATGCTATGCTATGCCATGCTATGTTGCGCTATGCTCTACTATGATGTGCTATGATATGTTATGCTGCGCTATGCTATACTATGATATGCTATGTTTGGCTATGTTATGCGATGCTGTGTTATGCTCATGCCGCACTATGCTATGCTATGCTGCGCTAGGCTGAGATATGCTGTGCTCTGCTATGCTAAAGCTCAGCGGCGCTACGATGAAGGTACGCTAAGCTAAGATACACCTGAGCCATAATATGAAGTTAAGGTAATCCAAGATGAACTACGCTACGCTAAGATGATATACGCAACGCCAAGCTAAGGGGACGTAGCTGGGGGGGGACCGCGGGGCGGATGCCGGGGGAACCGCCCAGGGCGCGTTCCCCTGCCCGGCCTTTTCAAGATCGAGAGTAAGCACCCTTCTAGGCAGAATCTATGTAGGGAATATGGCGTCGTATATCGCATAGTATGTAGCTTATGACATTAACGCATGATCATCAATCATCTGTGATATATTATAAGATACAGTGTGCATCTACAACATACATTATGGTATATTATATATCAGATATTACGCAATATTTGCCATTAGCGCATGAACATTAATCGTCTGCCATTTGTTACACACTATACAACTACAACACATAGCATATTCCCTTTAGGTTTTCCCATATCTTCCCCCAGATCTCCCCCCCCCAGATCTTCCTCCCCCCAATGCTTCTTCCAGATCTTCCCCCAGATCCCCCCCCCCCCAGATCTTCCCAATATCTTCCCCCAGATCTTCCTCCATATGGCCCCAGAGGATGTATGCCGCGCGGAGTTATTCACCTCCCCCGGGGCCCTCTTGGATTGTTATTTGGCCGTCCTGGGCGCTGCTCGGGCTCTCTTGGGGAATTCTTGGGGGCCACTTGGGGCGCTTCTCGGGTCCTCTTGGGCCCTTTTTGGGTCGTCTTGGGCTCTCAGAGGGCGCTTCTCGGGCCCTCTTGGGCCCTCTTTGGATTGTATTGGGCACTCTTGGGGCTTGTCGGGCTTTCTTAGGACGCTTCTCGGGCCCTTGGGCCCTCTTTGGATTGTCTCGGGGGCCTCATGATGGCCCCATAGCCTCCACGGGCATTGTTTTGCCATGCGCGGCTTCGGCGCGCGTCAGTGGGGCAGCGCGTGTCAGCGCAGCTCCTCCTCCATCATGCTCATTAGTAGCCATTTGGGCTCGAGACTCGACGCCGCCGAGTGAGGATTTCACACCACACCTTTTCAACTGGGCAAGCGCCATGGGCAAGCGCGCCCACGATGCTCCCGCTAGACCGCCCAAAGTTCCCAAGCGCGCCGCCAAGGCCTCCGCTGCCCCAGCAGGCGGTGGCGCAAGTCCGTCTTCAGTAAACCCTTTCGCCGGGTGCCTGAACGCGACGGTCCAACACAAGTTGTGCTGCTACGACGACAAGATCATGCGACACCCCGCCTTTGACGGCATCATGCATGACCAACCGACGGACAAAAGCGGGGCCCATGCCTACAATCCAGATGGGGCCAAGAAGAAGCTCGACGCTGGTCAGCCCTACGTGGCGAGCATCCCTTTCTTCTGGCTCAACTTGCGTTACGAGTCGCAGCCGAACGTGCCGAAGTACTGGAACCGCATCGAGAACCTTCGCGGCCACTTCTGGCAGACGCCTAAAAGCTACCCAGACACTATCACCGTCGCTCACACGCGGGGCGACGAGCTGCCGCACCTTCGGCATGGTCAACTCCAGGCGGTCTGCATGCCTGAGATGCGGGACGCCCTGCGCGCGGCCATAGGCATGGCCGCCGAGGCAACTGACAATCTCGACGCCATGCGTGAATGGCGCGAGATGCTGCAGTCCATCCCCGTCCGCTTCATGGTGGTGGACCCGGGGCACTCCCTCAACGTCACCTTCCAGATCTTGGTGCAGGGGCGGGAGGACCTGGCGGTGAAGCATGAGAACATGCGCAGGTCCAACCTCCTCCGCTCGTACGAGATCATCGACTTGAAGAAGCAGTTGGAGGAAGGTGGACAGAAGCAAAACAAAAAATCATTGGCGGATTACTACGGCAAGCTCACCATGGCCAAGTCCTCGGAGAATGTGACGCCTACGTTCGTCGAGAATTGTCTTACACTTCGCAACCAAGTGCTGATCGTGAAAAACGTGAGCGACATCTGCTTCCGCTTCGATCAGCTGGGCAACGATAGCCCCATGGACAGCGTGCTAAAGTACAAGGAGGTCGGCAGCCAATGCGACAAGAAGAGTACGCTCATGATTTGGGCCTACGAGATGCTGTGGGACCACTGGCATTGCACTGACGGCAAGGAGGCGATCCCACTGCGTTTGCTCGAGGGCAAGGTCCAGGGCTGGGGCAACAAGTCCATCATCGATCTCTTCGTCTTCAAGCGTGCGCTGCGCGACTCCCTGTGGAGGCGCCTTGAACAATTTAACTGGGATACCGATGTGAAGACCGCCTTCAAACAGTTCACCGAGTCGGTCGTGACATGCAGGAAGAGGTTCGGTGTCATTCAGAAGCCCAAGAGGGATCTCGACGGGGTGGCCACGGACCGCACCCTGCCCCACTCCTGGCCGCCCAGCGCCGGCCAACTGCTCCTCATGATGGAAACCCTTGTCTACGGCTACGAGTACGACGTGGCGATGATCAAGACCATGGCCAATAAGAGGACTCGCGATGACTTCCTGGAGACCGCGGACGTTTCCCACATGATGTCAGAGCTGATGAAGACGTACGATGATCAGAAGAAGGCTGCCGGCATCGTCGACGACGCCGAAGCCGATCCAACTGCAGCCGAGGAGGAGCAGGCGGCGCAGAACCTCAAGTTGGCCTTCATCGCGAACCAGTCGACAAGGCCAAGTCGCACGCCCAACTGGCACAGCGTGGTCACCATGGAGAGCGCCGACGTCGCCAAGGCCAAGTCGCACGCCCAACTGGCACAGCGTCGGATGCGGTCCAACGTGAAGCTCGTGGCCGCCACGTCCCAAGAAGAGATTGCGCAGTCGATCAAGGCGTTCGAGGCGGGCCAGGCCATGGGCAAGGGCAAGTCTTACGTAGCCATCGTGATCGACGCCAAGACTTTGTGCGAGAGCGGGACGCAGGGTAAATACCGATTGGGGCCCAGCCGTCCGCACCACTTGAGCAAGCTTCTCGGCGCGGTGGTAAATGCGCGGGCGACGGGTGAGAAAACTCCAAGTCTACCAGCCAACGATATCATCGTCGCCCCCGATGGGTCCAAAGGCCAGGACTGGGAGGATAAGATTGTCAAAGCTCTGAGCCCCATGAAGCTCGAGGTGACCAAGCGTTATGCGATGTTCTCCCAGGAGTCGCTCGAGAAGCGTCTCAATCGGATGCACGGCAACCACGCGCTGGAGCAGATGGAGACGGTCCTCCTGCTGTCGTCGGAGATGCCCATCTTCAAGATCGGGCCGCGCAAGCTGAGCCCGAAGGCGACCACGCGGGGCAACGTCATCGGCCCTCTGGATGTGGCAGACTGGAGCGACAAGGACCGATGCCTCCTACATGGGGTCCGCGTAAACGGGGTGGATGATCGCGCCGCATCGCCGATGCATCGGTGATGCGACTTAGTGGGGCTTGATCCTCACGGCGCCGACGTTGTCGATGCATCGGCGAAGCAGGCATCGGCGATGTATCGCGATCCTCTGACCCCCTCCATTCGGACTCCATTTGGGACGCCTCCAAAGGACGCTACGTGGACAGTGCCCTGGTCTGACAAGAAAGCGATGTACAGCACTGAGAACCTGCCGCTGCCGGGTGGGAATTGCGGCGTCGAGCACAAGAAGGACAAGGCCACGAAGGCGTCCGACCTCGTGCCCGCCTTCTGGCACGAAGGGCCTCCAGCTCTGGCCACGGAGGTGGCCCACCTGCTCCAGGCCACATCGATCATCGATCTCACCCCGGGCTCAGGACATTGGGCAATGTACGCAGTGCGCAAGCAGATACCTTACCTTGGCGTGTGCTTCACTGACGCCCACGTCGAGTTGCTCTATTCCAAGCTGCGCAGCAGGATCCTCTCGGCGGCCATGGACGCGAACGACCTCGACCTCTACGACGTGAACCTCTCGTCCCTAGTGACGTCCACTCGGAAGGACGCTACGACGCCCACCAAGGACTCCAGCGGATCTCAATCTGCTGGCTGCGTCACTCCGGTGGCTGGTGGGAGCACCCCCATCGGCGGCAGCACTCCGGCGGCGGCTGTTGTCAAGGGCGCGGCGGACCGGCAGTCCTTGCTCGATCGGATCAACGCGATGAAGCAGCAGTCCACTGCTGCGGCTGGCCAGGACATCGATGATGAGGAGTGATCGAGTCTCAGAAGCAGCCCTGCAGTAGTAGCGCCGCAGCCCACGGCACTCAGGATGAATCCAGGCGGTCAGGCGGCATGACATCGTCGAGGGAGGGGGCACTCGACAGTAGTCTACAGTAGGCGGGGATGAGTGCAATGACGACAGTTGAAGCTGCATTGCCATTTGTCGCCCGGCGGCGGCCCACTTTGCGTGCTGGACCGTTTCCCGCCGGGCGCTGAGCGTACTAAATCCTCCTCTGACCTCGTCCTCGCCCTCCTCAATGAGATTCCCCCGTGCCTCGATTGCCCGGCGTTGAGGCACACCCGCCATCCTCGTCCTGTTCCTCCTCCTCCTCCTCCTCCTCCTCCTCGTCACCATCCGTCTTATCCTCGAGATCCTCCCCTTTCTCATCAATCTCCCCCTCCTTGTCCTCCTCGCTCCCTTCGTCCCCCTCGCCCTGATTCGCCTCTTATGTCCATGGCATGCCCCTGCGCACGGTGCCAATGGGTTCGACGCTGGTCAGAGCATGGCACGCCGGGGCAAACGTGTCCAGAAGGGGTTTCCACCGCCATCATCCGCATCCACAGCCTCGACATCCTCGGCATTACCAGGGTCGCCAACATCGTAATCATCCATCAACGTTGCATCATCAAAGTCGTTCAGCATCATCAGAATCGTCATCATCTCAGACATGTCTAGGTTTTCGGGCCCGAAACGCAGACAACGACAGGCAGACTCAGACAAACTCGTAGAGCAGACAAACTCCATGGCTCCTGGGGCCCCTGGAGCACTTTGGGCCTCTGGAGCCTCAAAGCCCCTGGAGCCGCCAGCCCCTAGACTGAACCCGCAGGCGTTGGGGGGCCATGGGTGCACCAGAGCTCTTGGAGCCCAAGTCACATGCGCATGGAGCCTCTGAAACCTCAGAAGCCCTTGAACCCCCCGACCCCTAGACTGAACCCCTAGCCCTTGGGAGGCCATGGGCGCGCCAGAGCCCCGAGCCCCTAGCCCCTGCATGTGCTGCGCTATGCTATGCTATGCTATTGTTGGCAATCATGTGCATACGCATGTTAGCGGGCACACACGTTTGAACGTGGTGTGTATACACATATATATATATATACATATATATATGCACACACGCATAAATATATATATACATATATGAATATATATATATATATATACATATATATATATATATGCATATATATATACATATACATATATATATATATATATACATACTTGTGTATACGTGCATATGTACAAGGACACGAACGATCATGTGACAAACACTACCACGTAAAAAAACGACAGGCCATTTCGGGGACCAACGGGGGCCCCCTACGTGCACTCTCCCACAATCCCTTCGGTCGCTGAGCTGGGCTAACGCTGACCTGCGCTGTGCCCGAGTCCCCGATGCCCCCCTTGACCCATTAGGGCCCATCAGGGCCCATCAGGGCCCATTAGAGCCCATCAGTGCCCATTAGTGCCCATGTGCACCAAACGCGCCCTAAGACTCATGCGGTTTTCAACGTGCCATAAGACTCAGACTGGCGCCGTGTCACCCGAACCGAAAAGTGCGATGTCCATGATTAAATTGCGGGCATCATGGTAGCCCTGGCCGTGAAATACACTAAATTAGTGAACTTCCACTTGCCAAATGTAACCACCCGCTCGATCGACCATCAAAGTGGCGATCCGCAGACATTAATCCAGGAAGGCGTCGGTCATGTAGACTAGCCTCTGCGATGACAGCGCTGCCTTGTAAACAACTACTGGACCGGTGCCTGCCTCGACGCGGTCGCTCACGCACCTCCTTGACCACGAAAACCAATGACCCCGCAGCGGTGGACTGAATGAAGGTGGACTCGTGGGCCTTGGCCGCGACGGCATAGATCTTGCAATCGGTGATCAACCCAGCGGCTGCTCGACGCCGTTTGGCGGCGCGCACCACGCACTGCTTCTCAATTCGGTCTTTCCCCTGCTCGAGCTCCTCCACCGAGGCGTTTTCAAGAGCCCCGAGTCTGCCTGCCCAGGCCTCCTCTCGCCGAGCGCGTTCCACTACTCGCAAAGTCCCTACTCGCAAACGTCAGAAAAAAAAACATGTATGCGTGTGTCATAACATGTCGTAAATCCCCCGCGGCGGATCTTGGCCGTTTGCGAGTAGTTACTTTGCGAGTAGTGGAACGCGCCCGTCTGTCCTCGGATAGTCCTTGTCCACGTCTCAAGCTGCAACATCGCATCTGGATCCACGGCGCGGACGGACTTCAGTTGACCTGGGCTCGCCGCTGCGTCGAGCTGCCGCTCCTGCCGCCAGCAGCCCTCGCAGCCCTCGTTCCGGGCACGCAAATGCTGCCCGCCAACATCGCTTCGCTGCTGCCTGTTTCCACTGCCGGTGTCGCTCCAGATGCCCGCAGCTCGGCGCAGCACCTGAGGTATGTCGCCCTTCCCGAGCTCGAGTATCTCCATGCGGTCGCAACAAGCGCCGTTGCCCAGGGAGGCGACGGGGCGGTTGCAGCCCTCCCCGAAGGACTGCTCGACCCCGCTCGTGGATCCACCCGCTGCCCAGTAGCGAATGATCATATCTGCACTAGCGCTGGCCATCTTCGCAGCTCGCATCCAAGCATCCACAACCACATCGAATTCTCCGCGGCCACGCGCGCCACCAAATGACGCACGGACTCCATCTCCCCCGCCAGCTCGTCCGAGGTCGCCTCCGCCTTGAAGGCTTCGATCAAGCGCTCCATCTGCCTGTGGCGCTGGGCGTTGGCTGAGTTCTCGGCGCGTGCGCCCGTGCCCCTGTCATGCTGCGCGACATTGAAGACGCCCCACGCCTGGATCGCCTCGAAGCTGGGGAACTCCGCCCGGAGCGTCTGCACGACTGCCGCGACCCAATTCATCATGCGTTCGAGGCATCTCGTCTGCACAGCTGGGGCCGCGCCGTTTGGACAGTCCAACGCACGTGCGCCAGCGCCTGGAAGCATGATGGGGTGCTTGAGCAGCTTCAGCATGCGCCCAGTGAACGCGCAGTCCGTCTACGCGGCCACGGCTGGGTGGCCGCCGACCCCGAACAGCGTGCGACGAACGCGCTCGCGTTGAAGGGCAGGTCGTCAGCCGGGAACCTCTCGTAGTCTAGGTGCCTCATCAAGTGATAGTGCTCATCTCCAGCGTCTGCAAACATTGCAAGCTGCAGAGTCTTGAACTTCTTTGAGCCCCACTGATCGAACAACGTTGCTAACAGCCTTGGCCTCCGCACTTGAGTTCTGACGTGTCCTGGCCACCTGGACCAAAGTGGCGATGAGAGCTGGAAAATGCAACGCGCATCTGGCCAGGGGCAGCTGGCCGCTCTCGAAACTGAGGCCGACGGCTTCGCCACGGCCCTGAGGTGCGGACCCAAGGTGGAAATATTCTTCTGGAACCAGGCGCTGAACTGTTCCGAGTACTGCATCAGTTTTGTAGGAGACTTATTATCTTCTGCGACGATCAACGAGCACACCATGAGCCACCGAAAAAAAAATTGAGCAAGCGCACCGCTCTGATTATCAGAGCTTTCACCAAGCCATTGCCTGTCGCAGCGCATGCCCTGGCACCAAATTCTGAACTGCAATGCAAGCAGCGAGTCCCGTAGCAGCGAACCGATACAGGAATTACACGCCACTGCAGCTCCATCATCGAGCAACATACCACAACTCCCAATCATAAGGAATACGTCTGCCTTTCGCTGACCAGGCTCAGCCATGATCTGAGCACATCGGCCAAACATACGGATTGAACAACTGCGTGCCATCTTGACTTGCACCCCGTACTCAATTAAACTTAGTAGCGTGCAATTGTTGAACGAACTGTTTCGTCCTGTGTTATGTGACCTGTGTTATGTGACCAGGAATGCGCACTTATTGAACAATCGATGCGAATAGCCACATCACCCCCGCGTTAAGGTTAGCATGCGGCTGCAGCATCGAAGTCGATGGCCCCTCATGTGGCCACAACGTTTCGCCGGAGTCCTGCCGGTGAAGGAATGACTCCACGATTTGACTGATCCTGTAGTCTTTGGCGTAAGTGTGGAAATCCTCGTACGAGCCAGTTTCGCGACCCAACTGCCTCTTCTGATGCATGGTGGCGTCGCTCGTTGTGCGAACTTGGACGGGGATACACTCGCGCACTCTGATGTTTACAGACACTTGCCTCCCACAATTGTACGCAAGTCCACCATCGCCGTCGCCCACAAACAGTACTCGCCAACCACTCACAGTTGCCAGCGTGCACATGCTAATCAAATCGAACCTTCCATCACCACCAACAAAATGCATTGGGTCGACTGAACCTGCACGCGAAACTTTGACAACCATGTTTCGGCCATCGCCTATAGTGGGAATCCCATCTCCTGAAGCCCATTCGGCACACATCTTGGGATGATATCCTTCGACGTATTTTAATAAGGCAATCTGAAATGGCGACCCACTCGCCCTGATTGTATCCCATCGCCTGCTGATTGATACCACCACCGATGATGGCAACTGACCGATGATGGCTTCGTACGTCATGTTCTCATAGACCAGCCGTCTCTCGGCAGCGTCTGGCTTGTGCTTGAGATATTTAGTGAGAAGCGCATCCAAATACTCACGATGGCCGCTTGGAGGGCATACGCACGAAACCACCACGATACATGGCGACCCCACCACCAACGAATCCTCATACATTTGAAATATATCGCGCGCTTTCACTGAGACTCCTAGCTGTCGCAAACGTGATCCATTATGAGCCTCGATCGCCGTTGTATCTATGTCAGAGACTTCCCATGACTGTAGATTCTGCACATCGCCACCTTGACCCGCCATGAAAACCTCACCCGCCTAAGAAATAAAGATCGCCCCACTTGAAAGGTGCGAGGCGCAGCTCAGAAACAAAGCTCGTTGGGCCAGCATGTTCACGGAGCAGGTCGGGGGAGGGGGGGGGGAGGGGGAGGGGGAACGGATGGCCTGCTCAGGGAGGGGGCGGGGGGGGGGGGTGAGTGA